CACTCATTTTTGCAGAGGACCAAATTTGATCCCCCATGCTCACATGACAGCTCACAATCATCTGTAATTCCTGTTTCGGGGATCAGATGCTCTCTTCTGAGTTCTGCGAGTACCAGGCATATGAGCATGCAGACAAAAGAGTCACACGCATAAGATAAATTTAAAAAAAAAACATAAAGAAAATCAATTTAAAAACATTTTTCTCAGAAACTTCTGACAGAGCCAGAGAGATAGCGATACCAATTTCTGCTGAGTCTGGGGAGTGCCTTTCTGCTGAAGAGAAGGCAACAGTGCACCACAGACAGAAGCTTGAGGGGTAGGAGCCAGCACATCCTACCTCGGAACTATGACTGTTCCTTCTGTTCAGGCTCGTGTTTGTGATGAACTGAGTTCATTTACCTTCAGCGACTGTGGGAAGGTCCTGGCACCCAGAGGCTCGGTGATCTCAGCTGACTGCCCCCCGATGCTAACCTGTGTGTGTCAAACACTGTTTCTGCCACACCAGCTTCCCACACTCACGCACAAAGCATGTTAGAAAGCAAGATTTTGATAGTGATGTTTTTATTTGGAGACCATTCGGTCTGATTTGTTTTTAAGTGCTTCATCCTCCTACAGAAAATCTTTTTTAGTAACAAACTCTAGACCAAGGTGACCCAGTATATTAGGTATTGATGCTGAGAGTCAGTACAAGCATCATTATGCCAAAACTCCACCCCGGGTCTTTCTCTTAACTTTTTCTTTCTTTCATTCAATTTGTGGTAATATTTCTAATTGATATAGCCCTAACTATAGAAAAATGAAAAACCTTTTCTATAGCCTTAACTATAGAAAAATGAAAAACCTTTTTCGCTACTAAGTAGCGCCAGTTTGTGTGTATGGTGCCTGTGTGCGTGGTCCATGTACTGCCTGTGCCTGTGTTTGAGCACACGGAGACCAGGGCAGGACACGGAGTTTCTCTATCATTCTCTGCCATTACCTTGAGACAGGGTATCTCACAGGACCAGAGCTCTCAGAATCTGTCTCCCCTCCTCAGTGCTGTGTAACAGGTATGAATAGATATTCCTGTCTTTTTACCTGGATGCTAGGGATTCAGACACAGATCCTTATGACAGCAAAACAAACCCTCTTAGTCCCGGAACTATCTCCCCAGCCTCAGCAACATCAGCTTCAAACACAAACATTTAACTGGAGCCCAGTGCCTTTCTGACCACAGAGCCCTGTGTGCTCCCACATCACATACCCAGGAAGTTTGTCCTACAATAGTTTCTTTACCGCCACACTGGACCCCACAGTGTTGGACTCACCCTGCCCCTTCCTATTGAGTGAAGGTCCCCAAGGCATATTGTCCCTCTGTCTGAAACAAGATGTCGTTCCAGTAGACTTGTAACTCCTCTTTCTCCTCCTGCATTCTCTGCACGGCCTTCACATGCTTAGGCGGGCATACCCTGCATGTCCCGCCAGGTCTGAACTCTGCATCTCTTCTTCAGCGCGCATGTGGTACTTACTCCCTGTTCCTCACATAGGGATGTGGCTATCTGCCGGCGCATTTTCCTGGACTGCAAGTAGTAGTGTGTGGACCATAGCTGGGGCTGTGTTTATCACTGCTTCACTGAGGCCTGGCCCTTAGTTCCTGATAAATATTTACTGCATGAATGGATGGATTCTCTATCAAGAAAATGTTTGTGCAACCGGAGCATGCGCATCCAGTAAAGAGGCTTGAGAATTAGTGTGATTTGAGTTCTAAGTTATGCCCAAAAGGGACCAAATTCTCTTTCAGCCTGCACTGGTGAACACTAAGAAGTCACTGAGCTTGTCCCGTTTGTAGTTGGGTCTTCCTCCCAACCCAAGGGCTCCTTGATAACACCTGATGTTTTAAGGTACCCAAGTCCTTTGTGTTTCAAGTGTAGTGCAAGGGCTTATTTGTTACAATCATCAGTTTTCTGCCACTTTAACAAAATACCTGAAAAAGAAATGGTTTGCTGTGGTTTATTGTGTCAGAGGCTTCAATGCATGGACCTTTGGCGCTGTTGCTCTGGGCCCCAGATAAGGCTGTGTGGGCCCTTAGCCCTATTGCCTCAGGTCTGAGGTGAGACTGAGAATCACAGTGGGGGCACCAGGTAGAACAAAGCTGTTTTTATGACAGCCAGGAAGGACAAGAGGAAAAAGGGAAGGTTCCTGCTGACCTGCTGATGACCTGGTGATGGTGGACGTCAATCCCTCCACCAAGTTATTGCCACACCTCTGACTGATGCTGCACGGGGAATCAGGCCTGCAAAAAATGAGTCTTGGGAGAGTGGGGCCACTTCATATCCAAATTATAACAGTTGGTCCTCCAAAATGCTAGTGTCACTGAATTACACTGAACTAAGCAAGATGGAAATGCATGACCCAAAAGTTTACTTCTCCTGGGTCTCCTCTGTGTCCTTTCCCTCCCCCTCCCTTTTTGCTTCTTAAGGATTGCTGAGTCTTGTGAACTACTTTGGTTGTGATCAGATGTTCCCAGCAGAAAATTACCCTCATCTATTTTGGGTCTAGGTTGGCTCTTCAGAATGAAATGGTCTGATTAGCCTTATAATCATGATGGTGGATGGGCACTTCAGAGAATGCTCTGCAACCAGTTTGAGAACATTGGTAACATTGTCACAGAGGTCCTGATCTTGGGATGGAATCACATGGCACACAAGCTAATTCAGAGCAGGAATTAAACTCAAGGATCAGATAAAACCTGTTCTTCTGCGCTAAAGGCTACAGAGTTACCCATGTCAGAATGGGCCATGCTGAGGCGCCCAGTGAACCTTGGACAGCAGCCGTTAATGGAAGCCTATGTTCCTGTTAGAACCTGCCCCACAACCCATTCTACCCATTACTGTATATCTATATTTGAGAAATAACCAGGAAAGGAGGTAGTGAAAGTGGAATGTTCATAATGAAATTGAAGATCAAAGAAATAATCAGAAAAACAGAAGCCCACAGGTAATATTGGTATTGATTGAACATCTTAGAAAACATTGTTAGAAAGAGATCAGGGCATGCTGCCTCTATGGAAAATGCAGGACTCAGCTCAGCCATACTTGGATTAGAATATGAATCATTCCCAGAGGCATCCCTGGGGGGCTCTGTAGATATCTTAGTATTCTTTGGAGATAGAGCAGCATAGGAGAACGCATGTGGGTTTACAAGTCAGCCATACCTTCATTTAATGCCCAAGTTTACCTAGTGACATTGAGCAAGTAACCTCATTATCTTCCTCTTCTCTCTCCTCCTCTCCCTCCTCCTCTTCTCCCTCCTCCTCTTCTCCCTCCTCTTCTCCTTCCTCCTTCTCTTCTCCCTCCTCCATCTTTTCTCCTTCCTCCTCTTCTCCCTCCTCCTACTTCTTTTTGTAATTCATATAAGTTTGAGTCATGAAGGCCTATAATCTCACATCATTTAAGAGGCTAGGTAGGAGGATTGTGAGTTCCAGACCATCCTGAACTACATAATAGGACCCAGGCTCAACAACAGAAGGACAATCGTGATTTGTATAAACTTGTATAGAACAGTTGCCTTGTCAGTTTGTCATGAAGGTCAAATAAGATTGCCTAGATACAAAGGTCATTGCCCAAAGCAGGCATGCAATCAATTGCATTATTCCTTTGCCTCGAACTGTCAGCGCCTATCAACAGCTGGACAGGGTCTGGGCTAGAGTGAGACAAGCCAGTGCCTCTGCCACCCTGAGAGCGAATTCTCCTAAACACGTCCCAGGCAGTTCATGTGCCTCTCCCTGGTCCAGGCGTATACCTGAAGCAATGCCAGACCAAGGATGAGGCATCTCAGAATAGATGTCCTTCTCCCTGACACCATCCCCTGAACCCACACCTAAAACCCAGAGAAGCACTGTCACTTGTCTTAAACCTGCCATTTGTACATAGCACACTTGAAATTTGAACCCGTATATATTGGTTCCATACTTTAGTAGCCTTCAGTTGGTCTTCCCTACCCGTCTCAAGTGCTAGCATACCCCTAAGTGCCGTAAGTGGCCTCTGGATAGCTGGGCACCATTCCCTGACGTCTGCAAGTGCTCTCAATACCATAAGAGGACACGTCTCAAATTTTCAGCACATCTCAAAACATTTACTACAGGGCCTGCTTTATAGTCAGAGTTCAAGAAATAAATATTCACAAACAGAGGGGGAAAAGGAGATTCTTGTGATCTTATAATTTTAATGCCGAGAAACAGTTATAATAAACATCAACCCAGCTGAAGGGGCAAAATGCATTAATTTCACAACATGTCTGCTCTTTAAGGAGTTAGCTGTTCAAGCTCCATGGGGAATCTTGGACTCACAGAGACTCACTCCCACTGTTTCAAAAGAGAAAATTGCCAACCCCCACTGTGAGAGGGGGTAGAGAGACATAATGGAGGCTGGAGGAGGGAAGAGAGGGATTCAGCTGCATCAATATGCTGTGTGTAAACCAGAGTAAAGGACCCAGAAAAGCAATGCTCATGCTTAAGATGAATGAAGGCTCTGGCACAGGTCCGGCAGGACCTAGGACCCTGTTCCTAAGCATCTTCTCATCACCAACGCTGCCAGCCCGCGGAACACACTTTCAAGCATTGAAGACATTGCCACAAGACCATAGACTAGGCACATCTCTGGCCTTCGATTCTTTCTATCAACGTTCCTTTGTCTTTCAACTGTTAGCAAGTTGCTTAATCCAACACTGGGCACAAAGCAAGGGAAAATCTTCCAGAGAGGCTAGAAACTGGGAAAAATCACTCCTCATACAAAGAGGACACAAGCACCTGCTGGGTGACATCCCCACGCATGTAAAACTTCCATTTTTTTTCTGGATGAAATGAACATGTAGGGCTGATCTCTAGAGATCGAGTCTAGAGGATTCTGAGTGTATGGAGGAAAATAGGTACAAGTGTGGGGCTTGTGAATCTGGCCCAGCAGAGGCACTGTCTTCAGCCTGGAGATTACCGACACTTGTAATCACTATACTCTCTCCTTCTGCAGGGGAAATCTGTGCATTCAAGATCCACGGGCAGGAGCTGCCCTTTGAGGCTGTGGTGCTCAATAAGACATCTGGAGAAGGCCGGCTCCGTGCCAAGAGTCCCATCGACTGTGAGCTACAGAAGGAGTACACGTTCATCATCCAGGCCTATGACTGCGGTGTGGGGCCCCAGGAGGCAGCCTGGAAGAAGTCACACAAGTGAGTTCCATCTCCCCCTTCTGCCCTGGGCTATCCACCTCCATTTATTCTGTTTATAAACTGTTCTTTAAATATATCCATCTAGGAGTCACACCAAAAGTATAGCTAGAAGGTGGTCCAAAACTCCCAGTTCCATTAGCATTACTTTGACTAGGAGCTGGTGATTGGTGGTGGAGGAGGGGGCTGGTGTTATAACCGGTCATATAAGAAAAAGACCCAGATGTGGCCAAGGTGATGCTGAGTGCCCCCAGAGCATCTGGGAATGTTCTACCTGCTTTTCTTCTCCGGAAGGGACTCCAAGGCCACGTCCAAGACCAAGTGAAAGCATTGATCCTCCGGGAAGCATTCCCTAAGCCCAGCCCTCGGCTCATAGCCAGTCTAAAGCTTTCATTTCTGCAAAGCTCTTCATTTCTCTCTGTCACATATGCCTCAGCATGAGTCAACTCTGCTCTCTCCATGTGGAGTTTGGCTCAGAGCATAGAATAGTGGAAGAGTGTCCTGGGGAAGATTCCAGTACAGTCAGGAAAACAAACTCACTGTCCCCACTCTCGAGGCCAAGAGAGGCCCCACAGGTACTTACTGAGTGGGGGTTGTGTGAATAAATGAAGGGAATGTGGATAAGGGAGAAGATGGCGAGGGGATATGTAGCCTGAATTAGGCAATAGGGAATGATAACGAATGGGGAGGATTCTTTAGGGCAGAGTTGCTCAGCATCAAGGCAAGAGCAGGTAGATGGTTGGTTCCCAGAGGGAGGAAAGACAGAGGCGCTCATGCACCTACTGCCTTGATTGAGAGCCCTGAGGCTTCTGCAGTCACATGACCTTGGGTCGGATCAATGTCCCACAACACATGGTATGATTCCTTCTTTACCATCATTTCCCTTTCTGATTTGTGCTCCAGGGCTGTGGTCCACATCCAGGTGAAGGATGTCAATGAGTTTGCTCCCACCTTCAAAGAGCCAGCCTACAAGGCCATCGTCACAGAGGGCAAGATCTACGACAGCATCCTGCAGGTGGAAGCCATCGATGAGGACTGCTCCCCCCAGTACAGCCAGATCTGCAACTATGAAATTGTCACAACAGATGTGCCTTTTGCCATCGACAGAAACGGTGAGTGTCCTGGGGAAGATTCCAGTACAATCAGGAAAACAAACTCACTGTCCCCACTCTGGAGGCCAAGAGAGGCCCAACAGGTACTTGACAGTGGTACCTCCCTTGAAACCTTTTATCTAGGCATCATGACCCAATTATGCTCTTGATGATGGTTCATTTATAATTAGAACCTTGTTAAGTCTAAACTACTTTCAGGAAATCCCAGAAACTCAATGAATATGTCTGGAGAACTCATAATTGTACATGTTTATATACAAAATGAAGATGGTTTCTGGAAGAGTTATTTAATTATTATCCAGGTGTGAGCCTCATCATCACCTTGGCCACATCTGGGTCCCTTTCGATATTATCAGTTATAACATGAGCCCCAGCTCCCCCATTCACCACCACAACAACCTGCTTTCTGCATCCAGGCAAAGCAATACTAACAGAATTGGGAATTTAAAACCACCTCCCAACCATAACTTTGCTAAGAAATCTTTAAAATTCTTGCCAACCTCCCCTTTGAGAATTTCAACCATAGCAGAGCCTTCCTCCCAACTTGAATTGCACTGAAAATGGTACCATAAAACCATTTGGATATTTCCCATCACCATTAATATGAATCTTATTATAGCGTACACACAGCCAGAGGTCCAATCAACTCAATCCACTTGGACTATAAGTTGATTGTAATGAAATGGTACTATTTCTCGAGTGCATAGCTCAGATATAGTGTGAATTGCGTGGGTATCTATAGATTATCCCCACTTTCTTTCAGATATCCTTTAAGTAGCACAGAAGGATGCAAAAATTGTAAGACCTGCATTATTCTATAACCAAGTGATAGGTTTCATGATGGGCTCAGAATGGAGCTAGAACAGAACTCAAGATAGGCAGGTCCGCCCTCATGGAGCTCATCAAGCAACGAGGGAGGAAAAACGAAAGAGAATCAAGGGGGCATGAAGAGTGGAATTATGTATAAAGCATGCTGGGACCTGGAGTGAAACTGTAAATTAGACTTGAGAATCTCACTCGTCAACAGCTACAGGGGGAAACAAATTAGCCATGTATGTGCTCCTGGCTTTTCTGGAATGCTTCATGGTATTGAGACCTGAAGGCAGCTTGCTCTGTGGTATAATCTGCATCCCAAGAACAATACCAGAGTCCATAGAGGAAGGGAACACCTTCATCCCTGCTTTCAAGGAACTTACCAGATGATCTACCTGACTATAATGACAGAAGGCTAAAAGCCACGGGACTAGGAGCTCCACGTCTGGACATCATTAAATGCTCATTGTGCGAGGTAGAAGATAGGAATACTAGAGTGAAGATAAGTTCTGTTTGTAACAACTTCCAGAACCACTCCCTCCAGCAAGCCAAGCCTTGTGAAAGGCTGGCCTGTACCCATCACACGCTCTAGGTTTCTATTCCCCCGTCATCATGTGGCAGTCTGTTCCCACAAAAGCTTTGGAATCTGGGACCTGACAAAGCATGGTAAATAGCGAGACAGCCAAGTGGCAACATCTGTGATTAGTGGCCAAGCTCCGCTTGGCCTCCTGGTCCTGGCTCTCAAGAGCTCCCGAGGAAGGGTGAGATGAACATTCTTTCATCTGAGGGTAAACTGCCCCAGTCATGAGGATAATTACTCACCTTGATGAGCCATTTTGCTAACATATGCCAATTTCTTTCCCTGGCTGTCTCGTTAAAAGTGAGCAATGGGCCTTTGCCAGGCCTTGGCCTCCAATTTTGGTTTACAATGTAAGATGGTGAGGAGAGTTGGCGCTCCCAGGGTATGCGGGCTCCCAACTGAGAAGCTTACAAAAGCTGCTCTCAAGTAATGAAGACAGGACCTACGCAGCTCCCATTCTCACGAGCCTCCCAGTGGGCTCTTCACCATCACGTCCACGGCGACCTTCTTAGCTTCTTGAAGTTCTTTGCATATGAGCATGTCGGGGAAAGTGCTCCTGAATCTCAGGCGCCTTCCTTGGCCACGAGGTTCTCCACAATCTTCATCCCACAGCTAAAGTACATGTTCCTGGTTCTTCAACCTGCCAGGCTCTTTGCCTATGGGTGGGGTGGAGGGCGGTGAGATACAGCGACCGGCCAGAAGGGTGAAAGACCCCAGACGGAGTCTGAATGATCTCCTGTACCTACGCACCCAACCTCTTTCACCTGTAACCCCTGGACCTCCTTGGCAGTATCAGTTCCAAACTCATTGTGGGGTTCTGCAGCCGTGGGTAGGGGTGCTGAGAGTCCTCACTGCGTAAGCAGTGCTGAGACCTGCTGCTGTCCATGGTGATTAGACATTTGTTCCTGTGACTGCGGTTTAGTTACTCCCCATGAAATCTGGACTGAGATGACGATCATATAACTATTAAGTTTTTGCCACCGTCTTGGAAAGTTCTAGATCTATATCCGGTGGTATACAGGCTCCATCTGCTAGCTCTAGGCCAGCCTCTCTGGGATAAGCAGAACCTGGATCCCTAGTTTCATTGGACAAGTAGAGAAATTGAGCCCTAAGGCAGGGAGACTTTCCTAATACATTGTCATACTGTTGGAAAGGAATACTGAAAGGAATAAATGGCGTAGGAGTTTAGGTTCATAAACGCAGGGAGGGTAAGTTCAGCAAGAGGCAAGGAAGGGAGTCCCAGGTTTCTTTCCCCCTCCCAAACAAAGAACAAGTTCAAAGCCATGCACAAACGAAAGAAGCTAGTCTAGGACAACTTGAGACTGAATTAAGAAATTACAAGACAATAAAAGAAATATTGAGAATAACTTCTCAAAAATTGGGTAATAACACCAGTGTCATTTTACCAGCATTATCCCATCCCCCAGATCGGCAATGGCCAGCACAGGAATTCCCTCGCTCACAAATTCCTCTCATAGTAAAAAGGTAGAGCATGCTCAACAGCCAGCTTCCCCAGACTTTCAGAACAGTTCCCACATGACTTACCTCCACCTCATTCCCACCCAGATCACTGGGGAGGCCAATATGACCAAGATATAGGGCAACATCTGAAAACAAATTAGATGGTCAGGGCTCTCAGTATCAGCAGTATAGCAGAAATCGCCACGGTCTCCAGTGGCCTTCTCTGGAGAGAACACCAGCAGCCTTCACAGGGCACCTCCACCACCCTCTTGGTCACTTCTGCACAGCCCCTGTAGCTTTCGTTACCATGCACCCTGCAGTGTTCGGCCTGGTGGATCACAGCACCACCCACCTTTTGTTGATAGGAATCCAACAAAAGCCCAGAAGAAATAGACCCACCTCTTTACCACTAAGGAATAAGAAACCCATCGTTTTCCACTTTTTCAGCCTCCAAGCGTTTGAGCCACTACTCCTCTTCTTCCTCTCTCGAGGATTCATCCTCCAGGGGCACCCAACCAGACCCCAGTGCATCCAGTAACTCACAAACGACCTGTGTACCCACTACAAGCGTAGGCTGACCACAGCGTATGTACTTGTAACTAATCCATTGGCCATGCTCCCACGGGCAGCTAGCCTCAACTCCTGTTATCAGGGTCCCTCAGCTAAGCATGCACCTGCAGCCATCTCATGTTGTCATGTGCCTTTCTAACAGCTCTAACTCTTATCACGAAACCCTACAGTCATTCTCACTCCTACGTCTGGCCCCCTAGCCGTAAGTATGTGCATTGTCAGCTCTGATGCCTCTCTCTATAGATGTCTATGAGGCCACTAACTCTTTCCTTGATACTGACTGGCTCTTGTGCTCACAGTCAACCCTTGTAGCTACACAGATGCACACAACCAACCCCTGCTGCAGCACTCCATCACTTTCACCAACACTGTGTGTGCGTTCATAAACAGTTCCTGCATTTACCTGCATTTGTACTAGCAATTCAAGCCCTATTGTTGCTGTATATAGAAAATTAGCCTAATCTCTGTAGCTGGCTCCCATGAACCAAATGCATACACAAAGCCAGTCTTTATATGTACACATTACCAGCCTTATGCTTGTAAACACACACTATTCGTAGATCCACAGTTGGCCCTGCCCCATCCTTGTCACCATGTACATTCTTGCATCCAGTTAGATGCTCAACAATGGTCTCAAAGTCTGCTGTGTCAGGTTCTTGTCACAGCTACCACTGAAGATACCAAGATGCCCCCTTTGCCACCATATTCCTTGCTGCACTAAGGGCCACATGTTAAGGATGTTGCAAACCCCAAAATTCTGAGCCAAGACAACATGTTCTTCCTTTCACCCACGGAACTACCTGCTGAATACTATGCATGGTCCCACAGTTTCTCCTCAACCCACACAGGGAAGGCATTTGATTTCTGAGACCATTCCCAAAAGTCGAGATGAGATGGCCATTTCTGTAAATGCACAGGCAAAACTGAAGACTGCAAGAGTCATCCCTACCACCCACATGTAATTTCATGTGGGCATCCAGGGGAACTGATGCCCTCTTCTGGCCTCTGTAGGCAACAAGCATGCATGTGGTACATGCAGGCAAAACACACACTGAGATAAAAGAGAAAATAATTTAAAGTCTTAAAAATACTTACAGTCTGGGGGAGAATAAAGTAATATATTGAAAGAGATAAAACAACAATAACAAAACCTCTGCCAGCAAAGAATGCTTTACCTGGCAAAGTCACCCTTCAAAAACAAGAGAGATGACTTTCCAAAATGAGCAAGAATAAAGACAGTTCATTACCACTAGACTCATCTTACAAGAAATGATAAGTCACTCCTTGAGATGAAGCAAGACTAGACCATTTAATAATATCGAAACACGAAAGTCTTTGGTACCAGTAAGTACATATCGAATTTACAATATTCTGATAGTAGGTAAATTGTTTACAAGTATATTTTAAAGACAAGAATATTAGGAATGAGTGCAGCTAAGATAATATACCAATAAATACAAAAGCAGATAAACTGTGACATCCAAAACACACATTTGAAGAGAGGTGGTACAGAGCTTTCACTGAAGTTAGGTTGCTGTCAGCTTTAAAAAAACCAGTATAACTATAAGACATTTCA